TCAGCTAAGATCCATCTAACATCGGCTACAATATCCCTAGTACCACGACCCCTTCTAAGCCCAGCCTGGACTTCCGGCAGTTCTCTGCTGATGTGCTGTTCTAATCGTTTTTGGATAAATTCCTGGCTGCTGGTACCAATAGTGTTGATTGTGGAGCCAAGCAAACTGAAGCCATTAACAATCTGTGCCTTCACTATCTGTCGTGATGCTACCAGTCAGCCCAGTAATGAGAATCTTTGTTTTCTTGATGTTGAGCTTCAGTCTTCTGGGAAACATTTTCAAGTATGAGGTGTGAGGGATAGTAGCTAGTTTTGATTCAACATTTCTTAAAAAACTGCATAGTGCCCATTAATACCAGCCATTGGAACAGGTCCTAAATACCCCAATTCAAAATAAATCACTTTTGATGGTCTGTGTGGATTGGCTGTCATTCTCAGTTGTTTTCATTGACTGTTGAACAGACATATAATATGCAGAGAATAATAACAGTAGCCACCTCTCACCCCTACTATGTCCATTTCCTCTCCTTTTCTTGGACTAACCCTCATGCCTTCCCCAATCATGCCCCTTTCCCAGCCTCCTTTCTCAAAAAAAAATCCTTACTAATTTTTATGTTTATTTCCTATTTTTCTTTAATTTTACTATTTTTATCAAAAATAACATTATTTGCTTTTGTATATCATATAAATATATCAATACATGTTCTCCTGCAGTAACATCTTTTAAAAACAAAATATGCCAAGTAAAACATATACAACATTTACTGCATTTTAAGTTCAGTGACATTAATTATATACTTTGAGTTGACCAACCATTCTCACTTCCCATTTTTGAGTTATTTCTCAGATTCCTATGTTATGTTTCAAGTTGCTGTTGCCAGTTTGATCCCTTCATTGATAGTTCTCAGATGAACATAATGTTCAAGGCAGACTTTTTTACTATTTAATGTTTAAGCTTGATGTGCCAAACGTGGTAATGGTTACCCATGGTAGACAGTGTTTGCTGGAGCTTCCCGACTAAAACAAGCTTGGAAGCAGGAATGGCATCCACTTCTGAAATGGCTTGCCTCTGGAAACTCTATGTATGAACAGTGCTCAGGCCTTTCATTCATAGGGTTGCTATGAGTTGTCTACGACTTGACGGCACCTAACAACAATAACAATTAAAACATAGAGAGAGCTACGTTGGCCTAGTGGACAGAAAGTTATACTATCAAGCTGAAGGTGGGTGATTTTAATCTGCGGCCCTCAGGCCGGGTTCAGATGGTTTTCCTATGAATCATTCTTGTAGGTGGTATAGCACTGGTCTGTGCATTGTTGTACAGAGATAACCTGTGGTTGCTGTGATACTGAACACTGTGAGAGTGATGTGCCAAACGTGGTAATGGTCACCCATGGTGGACAGTGTCTACTGGAGCTTCTCAACTAAAACGAGCTTATCACTGGACCGATAGGCAGTGTCATGGTGGATGGAGATGAAATTGAAACAGTCAATAGCTTGGATCCACAGTTAACACCCTTGGTACCAACAGTAAGGAAATAAGGAGACACATCACACCGATAAAATCTGCCCTTAGGGACCTCTCCAAATTATTAAGGAGTAATGATGTCAGTTTGAGGACTAAGGTTTGTCTGATTCAGGCCATAGTCTTTCTCTGATCACTTGCTATGCATATGTGAACTGGACAGTGAATAAGGATGACAGAAGAAGAATTGACACCTTTGAGCTATAGTGTTGGAAAAGGGTACTGAACATCCCATGGACAGCCAGGAGAACAGATATATCTTGGAGATGATACAGCCAGAGTGCTCCTCAGAGGTAAGAATGATGAGACTTGGCCTCATGTACTTTGGGCATGTTGCTAGGAGGGGTTATTCTTGGAGAAGGACTTGATGCTGGGAAGTGTGGAGGATCGGCGAAGAAGAGAAAGATCCTCAACCAGGTGGATTGACACAGAGAATACTGCAATGGGCTATGGGTTCTTATGTGTCAGGAAGTGTGAGGATGGTTCAGGACAGTGCAGAGTTCAGATCTTTTGTTCATAGAGTCTCTATGAGTTGTACTTGACTCAACAGCACCTAACAACAATGTATCTTGACTTTAAGACTTTAGGTGATATTTTTGGCTTAAGGTATAAAGATGGTCTCAGGACAGAAGATCAAGGAATGCAGCCTTTGGTATGGATTGAATCTCAATGTCAAGAAAACATATTCTTACAATTGGACTAATAGGCAACATTATAATGGACAGAGAAGAGATTGAAACTGTCAACAATTATCTTACTTGGATTCACAATTAATACCCTTAGCACCTACTGCAAGGAAATAAAGGAGATGCACTGCACTGGGAACATATGCAGTTAGGGACCTCTCCAAGTTATTGAGGAGTAATGCCAAATTATGTCACTTTGAGAACTAAGGTGTTTCTGATTCAGGCCATAGGCTTTCTGATCACTTGCTGTGCATTTGAGAGCTGGACAGTGAATAAGGATGACAGAAGAATTGATACCTTTGAGCTGTGGTGTTGGAGAAGAGCACTGAACATCCCATGAACAGCCAAGAGAACAAACAGATACGTCTTGGAGAAGGTACAGCCAGAGTGCTCTTTGGAGGCAAGAATGATGAGACTTAGCCTCACATACTTAGGGCATATTTCTAGGAGGGGCCTATTCCTTAGAAAGGAACATGATGCTAGGAAAGGTGAAGGGTCAGTAAAGGAAAGGAAGGTCATCGACAAACGATCTACACAGGTAGATTGACACAGTTACTGCTGCAATGAGCTCTTGTGTGTCAGGAAGTGTGAGGATGGTACAGGATAGAACAGAGTTCACATCTTTTGTTCACAGGGTCACTATGAGTCATATTCAACTCAATGGTACCTGACAACAGCAACAGTGTTGAAGGGCATCTCAATGATTTCCATTTTTTAAATTACAATGTTACCATAAACATTTCCATAGTGTTCTTTTGTTCATACATACAAGAATCCTCCTATATCAACACCTAGGAGTAAAATTGCTTTAGCTAATATAATTTTGTTTTCTAAAGTAAATGCACTCATTTACACATATACATACTAATAGTGTAGATAATTATTTCACATCAGTTGAGCCCTGCATATGAGGCTACTGGGTGTTAACCAGTTTGGTGGGTATGAAGTATTATCTCCTGTGGTCTTAATCTTCATTTCCTATATCAGATTGAAGATATTTTTAGGTGCTTATTCATGTGCCTCTTAAGAATTGCTTAACAATTTTCTTCACTGTATTTTTTACTTTGTCCTTTTCTCATGGATCTCATATGAGTTCTTTATATATTGTGGTTCTAATCCTTTGTTAGTTATATGTGTTATGAATATCTTTGCCCATTTTGTGGTTTATCTTCTATTATCACTACTTTCCAATAGCACAAATTTGGTAATTTTAATACAGTCAAATATTTACATTTACTATCTTTCCCTTTATTGTTTACTTCTTAAAGAAACTATTTCTGAAGCAGATTGAGGGAGGCAGAAGTGCCCCTCAGACAAGCAGAGACACCTGCCAAGCACTGCTGCCACCATGCCTAAGCGAAAGGCCAAAGGGGATGCCAGAGGCGACAAAGTGAAGGTGAAAGATGAGCCACAGAGGAGATCAGCACGGTTGTCTGCTAAACCTGCTCCTCCAAAACCTGAGCCCAAACCCAAAAAGGCTCCTGCCAAGAAGGGAGAGAAACTTCCCAAAGGGCGAAAGGGGAAGGCAGATGCTGGCAAAGAAGGAACCAACCCTGCAAAAAACAGAGATACCTCTGCAGTCCAGGCACAGAAAGCCGAAGGCACTGGAGATGCAAAGTGAAGTATACGTTTTTGATAGCTCTGTACTTCTAATGACTACTGTTTGGGATACTATTTTTTGTTTAACTAAGTTTTATAAATTATAAAATTTGAGTTTAGCCTTTTTTTTTTAAAATTATGTATCTAGCATACTGAACGCTTCCTTCTTATCTTTTGTGGAAAGGGCAAATACCACTAATAGAATGTATTTCAAAATGTAGATTGAAGTGGAAGAAAATAGAATTTTGTATCCTGGGCTTCATGGGTTATTCTTGGTTACCATGAGGATAGCATTCACACATTAGGCTACACTGACAGTCACCTTTTACAGGGTAACTGGAGAGTGTAAGGGACAAAACTTTATTGTCATCTCTTTTCCATCAGTATCAGCTTGACTTCTTTAAGAAGAGTCTTAATGTGGGCTTGACACCCCTAAAATCAACAGTGTCAGGTAACAATACTCAGGCAATACAGACCTTCTGATGATGAGAATAAGATAGTATTCCTCAAAAGATCCACAATCCTGTTTCTAGTTCATGAATCATTCATTTGAGATTTCTGCAGCTTTTAGTTCGTTTATTCCATATCAAAGTTGATCTGTGATGGGCTCGTACTTGCCTCTTGTGTCTATTCTTCTGAAAACTTTTCCTGTTCAAAGCAGCAAAAGATGACTTTGTTGACTTTTACACTAACTTTTTTCCAGAGAGACTTCTGAAAGTTTAAAATGTTGTCAACCATGACCTGATAGGAATAATGTGACTATTTCTAAAAAATATCTTATAAAATTGAATGCAAATTGCTTGGGAGAGGAAATAATTTCCTACTTGAAGCCAGCAAGATATTCATCTGTATTGCCTTGTAAAGTTTTATACTTTTGTTTTTCATATTTGCCTTTAGTCTGCTCTGATTTTTGTGAAAAGTATGAGATAGAAGGCCAGTTTAATATTTTTTTCCAAATGGATAAATAGTTGTTTTAGCTCTACTTAACTAAAAAGTTCATGCTTTCACTATTGATCTACGACATTAGCTGTTTCATAATACAAGTTTCTTAAGTATGTGTGTGTATAGGCTCTAAACTGACATACTGGTCAGTTGTCTAGCCTTGTGCCAATATTATACTATCCTGATTACTACACTTTTTAAAGAGGTTTTGATATTAGAGTGTAAATTCCTTCTCCGTCATCAACATCACTACCCAATTTTTTTCTTCCATGAGAGTGTCTTGATTATCCTTAGCCATTTGAACTTCCAAGTTTTACATCAAAAAGCAAAATAAAATTTAAAACTTCTAAAAGATTTGATTTTAGAGTAATGTGGGGAGCTATGTCATCTTTATAATATTAAGTCTTCTAATCCATGAACATGGTATAGGTCTCCCATTTATTTAAGCCTTTTAAATATCTTTCAATAAAATTTTATAATTTTCTCCATAAATGTTGTCTTTTGTTAATATTTCCTACATTTAACACTATTTTAAACTATTTTTATAGTTCATTTTTACTTATTTGTTGGCAGATGTCTATATACAGCAATCTTGCTAAACCCTCATTAATTTTTATATTCATATATAGACCTACTGGTTTTTCAAGCATATCTCCTCTATATACAAGGCAGCTTGTTTCTTTGCAGTCGCTATACTGTGTTTTTTGGGGTTTTTTTTAGTACAGATGTCCTAGCAACAGTATGTAGTGAGCAGCTGCTGAGGGCTTAGGTGCTTTATTGGGAGGGAGGGAGGAAGGGGAACCAGAATGAGGAAGACTAATTAACAGTGAACAGTCTTGGCTGCCTCCAGCAGTGGGATGTTCGAGGTGGGGGTCTCTGGCCAGGCATGGCTCACATGGGAAGACACCACAGTCAGTTACAAAGTCATGAGAGTGTCACACAAGCCTAGCTGCTGGCCAAGGAACCACAGATACCTGAAGCAGGTCCCCTGCACATTCATCATTACCCTATACAGGATGAGGCTCAAAGAACATCCGTTAGAGACCAAAGCAGAACGTGGAGCCGAATGGATTGGTGTTGTTTGGGGAGGATGACCTGTGCAGGACCACCACCTTCTGCACAGGGTGCCCCAGGAGTTCCTGGACATTGTCCCACACAGTCAAATGCTGGGTCAGGTGGGAGAGTGGTAGTAAATAACTTCTTTTCCTTTTCCTAATTATCCAGGTACCAGAGATAAAGCTTCAAGCAAAACATTCTCTGATTTCACAAGACTATGTTCTAGATAGGAGAAAAGAAAATAAATAAACATATAAATTTATATGACAAGAGAAAAGAAGTATACGCGAGTGCTATTTATGTAGGGTGATAGGGAAGGTCCTCTCTGATGAAATGGTGTTTGAGCAGATCCATTAATTAAATGAGAGGACAAAAGATACGGATATTTGAAAGGAAAGTGTGCAATCAGAACAGGAATGCAAAGAAATGAAGTGGAGATGTATTTGACTGACCGAGGAAGAACAAGGTGGTGGTCTGCAGCATGGATATAGGTCTAAGATGAGAGAGAGAAGGAAACAAGTTAGCAGCTGTTGCAATAGTCCAACAAGCAGTGTTTGTAATTTTGACCTGGTATGGAGAAATGGGTTGTGGTGTTGCAGTGGTCTCTGGAGAAAGGCGACTCTGCCTCCAGGAGCCAGGGAAGCCATGCTTGGCCTTGGGTTGAAGGCAGCAGCGGCTTCAAGCCCAAAAGGAGAAGAGGAGGGAGGAGGCAGCACTTAACAACAATAACATCAACAGAGAGAAGAAGAGAGAGAGATATCAGCTGGCCCAGTGATGAGAAAACTATGTGACCAAGACCAAGGTGGGTGATTTCTAATCTGCGGCCCTCAGGCCAGTCTTTCATTGTTTTTGTTCAGACATTCCTCTAGGTCATATAGCCCTGGTGTACAAGTTGCCATTTTGTGGCCACTTGTGGCTGCTGTGAGGCTGAACACTGTGACACGGATGTGTCAAATGCGTTAATGGTTGGCTACCCAATGCGGACAGAGAGTGGGGTGGAGCTCCCTGATTAAAACAAGCGTGGAAGGAGGAGTGGTATCCACTTCCACAATACCTTGTCTCCGGAAACCCTATGAACCTGGAGAGAGGATGAAAGGCACCCAAGCATCGAGGACTCTCCTTCATAGGGTCGCTATGAGTCGCCTGCGACTCAACGGCACTTAACAAAAACAACAACAACATGGAGAAATGAAGGACAGTGGATTGGATATGACATGTGAGAGAGTTGGTAACAAATAACATGCCACACCTGGATTATAATTTAACCTTCCTGAATAAGTTTTCTGAGTAGTACAGTAAGAAATTATGTCTATTTTTGTATGATTATTTAAAGAATTAGAGATGCTATATTAGAACATTTACTATGGCAGTCCTAAAATTAGCATTTTAAATAAAGTTTTGGGACTTTAAAAAAAAAGAAAAACATATTTACCAAAACAGCCATTACTAGGAAATAGATAAAAAATTATTCCCTTACTCTCCTTTTCTGCTGGCAGCATACTCTAAGATCTTCTTTCACCCCTGTCTTTCCAGGAGTCATTTCCCCCTTTCCTCACTTCTTTCTTTTCACTGTAACTCTTTTTGCATGACTAGCTATGCCTCTAGAAACTCTTCCACTTTTTTTT